GTTTTTCAGAGTAAATATGTTGCAGTTATGTCCAAGTCTGTGTAAAACACTGCTATGTTCTGTTCAACCTCAGTGGAAAGCATAGGTTCAAAGTTCCCTCCATCTGTTGTCCCTCTGTACATTTTTCATGGGGGTGACTCACATGGGTGACAAGTGAGGTAGTCAGTCAGTCATCTGGGTGTCTGGCTGCACAGATCCAATTCGTGGGTTGTTTGGCATTTTATCACTATCAGCCCATGTAGCCTCAAACTGTGAAGGTAGCTTGTGGGCAGATGAGCTTTCCAGTGGTTCTGCTGAAATAAAGGGTCCCTGGTGACAGGGCAGGGCTGGATCCAGAGCCTGCACTTGGTCCCTGACATACTGCATTATTTCTAAGACTTTCTCCCTCACTTTTCTGCTTAATCTACAAAGAATTCCATGAGTACTAGATTGCAAAGGAAAATTCCAGGAATGTTATCAAACAGTATTTTAGAAAAAAAGAGAACAAGATTGAATGTTTTACGGTCAGTTTAGTTATCCTTTATCCTTTTCTTTTTTCCAGACTTCAGTATTGATGCTCCACCATCCTTTAAACCAGCTAAGAAGTATTCTGATGTTTCAGGTCTTCTTGTGAGTATAATTATATCTCTATATCTCATAACATTAAATTGAAAAGAAGATTTCACAGTAATCTCTATTTATTTATTATTTTTTTGACCAACCTTCCTTAAAGTTTAATATTATTTTTTTAGATTTTAATACCAATATTTATTTATTTATTTTTATTATTTTAATTTATCAATATACAATATAGTTGATTTTCATGTCCCTTTACCAATTCCAACCTTTCCTCCCTCCCTCTTCCCNACAATATAGTTGATTTTCATGTCCCTTTACCAATTCCAACCTTTCCTCCCTCCCTCTTCCCTCTTCCCCCTTCCCCACATCAACATCATATCTGTTCACTTGTCTTAAGACAAGATCAAGGAATTGTTGTGATTGTTGTGTCTTCTTTCCCCACCCCCGTTTATTTGTTTGTATATTTATTTATTTATTCATTTATTTTTAGCTCCNTTATCCACTCATCTGATGATGGACATTTGGGCTGGTTCCAACTCTCGGCTATTGTAAATAATGCTGCAGTAAACATGGGAGTACAGATATCCCTTTGACTTGATGATTTCCATTCCTCTGGATATATAACCCGCAGTGGAATAGCTGGGTCATATGGTAGTTCTATCCATAGTTGTTTGAGGAACCTCCATACCATTTTCCATAAAGGCTGCACCATTTTGCAGTCCCACCAACAGTGTATGGGAATTCCTTTTTCTCTGCATCCTCGCCAGCATTTATCATTCTCAGTCTTTTGGATATTAGCTATCCTAACTGGAGTAGGATGGTATCTCAAAGTGGTTTTGATTTGCAAGTAATATCTATTTAAACAGTGTTGACTGCCAGCAACTGCTGGTCCTGTCTGGAACGTGTCTCCTGTGAAGAGGTGATAGGTTTGTGCAGAGGTGTTCATTCATCCAGCAACCTGGGTGTCTGTGTAGGCAGCCTTGGGGGAGTATTGCTCCAGAAAGCAGGAGACCCGAGTTTTACTTCACTTTCCTCTGCTAGTTAACTATATGAAATAACCCCAAAGACACAATTATTTCTTTTTTTACTGCTGAAGTTTTAAAAGTCTGCATTTTAGACGATGAATGTGCTTTTTAAAAAAATATTTAAACTTCTCTAAAGAGGCACTGTGGTAAAGGTAGTGACTTCCAAACTTCCTTGGTGACTTTCTGAGCATCAGAACCCCTTTTCTCAATGAAATCTTTTACAGAATCCAAATATATAAAAGGCCTGGAGCCCACCTCCCCACTATGGTCCCATTTGGGTCTGGTGTCCTGTTCTCCTCCCCACCTCCCACCACAGTGACTCCTCAGTGCTTCTGGGGAACACAGTTTGGAAACCACCAGTGTAGTTTTGTGCTACGTCTGGTCTATTGCCTGAAAATAGTTGCCTCATGTATTTGGCCCATTTTAATAGTTGTTTATGGCAAGACAACTATTCTGGCACCAGTTATTCTGTTATGACCCAAAGTGGAAATCTCTCCATGTGTCATTTTGAGCTTGTGAAAGCCATGATTTATGGCCAGACTTGGGGGATGGTCCCTTAGCTTTATCCTCACCATTTCAGGCAGCTCATCTGCTAGTACAGTGTTTTCACACGTTAGGAGATATATTAGTCCATTTCTGTTGCTTATAACATACCTGAAACTGGGTAGTTTATGGAAAAATGAAATTTATTTCTTATAGTTTGGAAACTGGGAAGTCCACAGTCCAGGGGGCTCATCTGGTGAGAGCCCTCTTCTTAGTGGGAACTCTGCAGAGTCCTGTGGCAACCAGGGTATCACACATGGCAAATGGCTGAGCAAGAGACTGAGCTCCTCATCTGCTCTCCTTTTAAAGCCATCAGAATCACGCCCATTATTCCATGATCAACCCATTCACTAGGGCACCATCCTCAAATCCAATTGCTTCTCAAAGGCTCCACCTTTCAATTACTATAATTATACTTTCCGCTCTCTTAATACTGTTACAATGGAGATTAAGTTTCCAATATATGAACCTTTGGGGACACATTTAACCCATAGCAGAAGACATGAGAATCATTTTGTAAACATTACTGCGGGCCCCTTTATGCCATCAGCAAAGGACTTGTCATGTTATATATTATCTGAAATCTGTACCACTGTATGTAAGAATTAAGAAATTCTGAATACACAAAGGACTCCACCAAATCATTGAAAGACAATCCNATATACCACAGTTTCCTTATCCACTCATCTGATGATGTACATTTGGGCTGGTTCCAACTCTCAGCTATTGTAAATAATGCTGCAATAAACATGGGAGTACAGATATCCCTTTGACTTGATGATTTCCATTCCTCTGGATATATAACCCGCGGTGGAATAGCTGGGTCATATGGTAGTTCTATCCATAGTTGTTTGAGGAACCTCCATACCATTTTCCAAAAAGGCTGCACCATTTTGCAGTCCCACCAATAGTGTAGGAGCATTCCTTTTTCTCTGCATCCTCGCCAGCATTTATCATTCTCAATCTTTTGGATATTAGCTATCCTAACTGGAGTGAGATGGTATCTCAAAGTGGTTTTGATTTGCAAGTAATATCTATTTAAACAGTGTTGACTGCCAGCAACTGCTGGTCCTGTCTGGAACGTGTCTCCTGTGAAGAGGTGATAGGTTTGTGCAGAGGTGTTCATTCATCCAGCAACCTGGGTGTATGTGTAGGCAGCCTTGGGGGAGTATTGCTCCAGAAAGCAGGAGACCCGAGTTTTACTTCACTTTCCTCTGCTAGTTAACTATATGAAATAACCCAAAAGACACAATTATTTCTTTTTTTACTGCTGAAGTTTTAAAAGTCTGCATTTTAGATGATGAATGTGCTTTTTAAATATTTAAACTTCTCTAAAGAGGCACTGTGGTAAAGGTAGTGACTTCCAAACTTCCTTGGTGACTTTCTGAGCATCAGAACCCCTTTTCTCAATGAAATCTTTTACAGAATCCAAATATATAAAAGGCCTGGAGCCCACCCCCCCACTATGGTCCCATTTGGGTCTGGTGTCCTGTTCTCCTCCCCACCAGTGACTCCTCAGTGCTTCTGGGGAACACAGTTTGGAAACCACCAGTGTAGTTTTGTGCTATGTCTGGTCTATTGCCTGAAAATAGTTGCCTCATGTATTTGGCCCATTTTAATAGTTGTTTATGGCAAGACAACTATTCTGGCACCAATTATTCTGTTATGACCCAAAGTGGAAATCTCTCCATGTGTCATTTTGAGCTTGTGAAAGCCACTATTTATGGCCAGACTTGGGGATGGTCCCTTAGCTTTATCCTCACCATTTCAGGCAGCTCATCTGCTAGTACAGTGTTTTCACACGTTAGGAGGTATATTAGTCCATTTCTGTTGCTTGTAACATACCTGAAACTGGGTAATTTATGGAAAAATGAAATTTATTTCTTACAGTTTGGAAGCTGGGAAGTCCACAGTCCAGGGGGCTCATCTGGTGAGAGCCCTCTTCTTAGTGGGAACTCTGCAGAGTCCTGTGGCAACCAGGGTATCACACATGGCAAATGGCTGAGCAAGAGACTGAGCTCCTCATCTGCTCTCCTTTTAAAGCCATCAGAATCACGCCCATTATTCCATGATCAACCCATTCACTAGGGCACCATCCTCAGATCCAATTGCTTCTCAAAGGCTCCACCTTTCAATTACTATAATTATACTTTCCGCTCTCTTAATACTGTTACAATGGAGATTAAGTTTCCAATATATGAACCTTTGGGGGACACATTTAACCCATAGCAGAAGGCATGAGAATCATTTTGCGAACATTACTGCGGGCCCCTTTATGCCATCAGCAAAGGACTTGTCATGTTATATATTATCTGAAATCTGTACCACTGTGTGTAAGAATTAAGAAATTCTGAATACACAAAGGACTCCACCAAATCATTGAAAGACAATCCTATAGCAAAATCGGCAAAAAGGCCTAGAGCCCACCTCCCCACTGTGGACCCATTTGAATCTGGTCCTATTTGGATCTGGTCCTCCATTCTCCTATGAACAGACAATTAAAAGAGAAGAAATACACATGACCAATAAGGAGATATTCAACTTCGCTGGTAATTAGGAAAAAGCCTCATCGAAAAGGAAAGACATTAAAATGTTTGATTATATATTTTGGCACCAACACAGGGAAATGGATATCCTCATACCTTGCTGTTTTGAGGTGAGAATGTGCACTGCTGCAGCTTCTTTGGAGGACAATTTGGCACTATCTCTTGAGACAAAAAAGCAAAAGTCCATGACCCAGCAACTTGCCTTCTGTGCAGCTACCTACAGAAATAGTGTGCACGAGGAACTTCATACAGAAATACTTATGCGAGACTCTGTGTGTTAGCAGAGTGTTGGCAGCAATATAAAGATCTATCACTAGTGTTTTCATACTATTCTGTGAGTTACATGCATATGTAACAATGTGAATAATCTTCCAACATACCTTGCTGACTGAAAGATGCAAAACAGTATAAACAGCATGGTGCCAAGTACATAAAAATCAACACACTCACACAAAAAATATTGGGTAATTTCTCTGGTGTGTTTTTATATGTATGTAAGGGTATACATTCGAAAAGTCTGGAAGGGTGTCCACCCACCAGTGGTTTCCTCAGGGCAAGGCAGAGGACTTCTGGATGGTAGATAGTGGTAAAGGGGGACCTGAGTCTTATCTGTAATGTTTGCTTTTAATTTTTTTTAAGAGGAGAATATGGTTCACCTGTTATTTGTATAATTTAAAGCTACATTAATTAAAAAGTGAAGCCCAACTCAGGTTTACACTGAGACTCCTGTTCCCAGCAGGCTTGAGTCTTATCTGTAATGTTTGCTTTTAATTTTTTTTAAGAGGAGAATATGGTTCACCTGTTATTTGTATAATTTAAAGTTACATTAATTAAAAAGTGAAGCCCAACTCAGGTTTACACTGAGACTCCTGTTCCCAGCAGGCCACGTGACTGTTTCCTCTGCTTGGGCATGGCAGGAAGGCATGCAGGGTCATACCTGTGTTCAGTCCTGGTGAGATGGGGGAGCCAGGAGCACTGCCTGTCAGCCTGTAGCAAGGGGGACCTAAAGCTGTTTGCTGACTGCCATATGGGACGACTTGTTTCATTCAGGCTCAAGGGATGGAATCCAGAGAAGGGTGGACTGTAGGAGTGACATTCTCTACTTGTTCAGCCCTGGGGTATCACTTGGTATCCTCCCTTCTGTTAAAAATACTGGACGCTGGCTCCTAGGTCAGGTCTGGTCTGTTCAAGTTTTTGTTGGTGCCATAGGATCTCTGTGTTCCACATTTTGGGGGGCAGGTTTTGGTGGCTGGCACAGGGATCTGAACGCTTGACTTGGTGTTACCACACTGTGCTCTATCCACATTGATTATTCAGCAGCCCTCTTGGCAGTGAGGTCTGAACTAGGGTGTGCCAGCTCAGCACAGTTTGGTGGGGAGTGAGGCAGCCAGGGACAGGGAGCCAGGCCGAGGCGGGCTCATCCGTGGAGGACAGACGATCCCAACCAGACGCACCTTCCTGCCTCCTGCTCGGAAGCCTCCCCCTGCAGTGAGCTCATCCCCAACTGCCTCATGGCCAGGAGCCCCAAAAGAGACTTGTCACAGTTTTCTAACTAAGCCTTCCCTAATATTACTGTCCTTAGGGGAAATGTGGTACGGAAAGGTCATATCTAGATCAAGCCAAAGGATCAAAGTTTTGTTTTATATAGAGTTTTAATTAATCTTAGCCTTTTAGGAATAATCCCATTTTCCTGACACATAGCAGTTAAATAGGGAGATCTCCGGTGGCAGAACTGAAGACTTTGTAGAGCATGAGAAGCCTGTGACTAATTTTCCTTCAACTTGTTGCTTCTTTACTGTCTTCTTCCCTCCCTTACTGAGTCACAGAATTACTGTTAGTGCGCATGATCAACGCCAGAGGAGACAACCCACCCTTGAGTAATTGGACGTTATCTGTCTGGACTTTAATGGCATCTTTTACAGTTAAAAAGGAGCTCAAAAAGACTCACCCTCATGTTTTCTGCTTCAAAATCTGTAGAAGCCAATCAACTTTGAGGTATATAGTAAGTGAATTATTTTCTCCACTTTGCACATGGGGAAACAGAGACCAGAAAGAGAATTTTGATATGTCTGAGAAACAAGTTCTCTTTTCTATGATGGTTCCGATCATCTGTTTGCTTGTTCATGTGTTCGTTCATTCGTTCATTCATCATTCATTGTACAAACACTGACTGAAGGCCCACTGTGCACTCTGCATTGCATTAGGAGCCAGTCTATCCTGATCAGCAAACCACAGGGTTCCCGCCTTATGGAGCATCACAGCCTAGACCCTGATCAAAGAGTCCCGTAGATAGCAAACTTCAAAGCAACAGAGATAAGCACGCCACAGGAGAGATCTGTGTGCTGTGAGAGTGGAGTCCTGACATCCTGTGGGGATGCAGATGAGGCTTCCCTGAGGGTATGGCTTTGGGGCTGAGTCCTGAAGGATGAGCAGGAGATTCAGCAGGGTGGGTCAGGGGTGGGGCCCCTGCCTATGGAAGGGCAGCTGGGGCATGACAAGAGGGAGGGACTTAGAGTCTGGGGCAGTTGGAACCAGAGAGTGAGAATGTGTGTCTGAGGAGGAGCCTCAGGAGGAAGGAAGACCCAGAGCCTGGGAGCCATGCTGAGGACTTGGGCCTTCGTCCCAAGAACAGGGAGGAGCCATTTTGAGAGGTTTTTATACTGAGGAATGACATGATCAGAATTGCAAGTTGCAAAGATGACCCTGAGCACAGTTGTAGGAGGGTAGTCCCTTCTGGTGGAAGAGCGGGTATGGGTGGTGAGGGAAGACCAGGGAGCCTTGAGAGTGGCATGGGGGGTGGTGAAGAGCTGGAGAGGAGCACATGGAGGCAGATGGAACATAGCAGGGAGGGACATGTACTCAGCATGCACAGAGTCAGTTCCTGCCTTGGGAAACACAGCCCTGGGACATTTGTTGGAAGGAGGCAGGAGTTTGAAGGCAGGGAGGGGTGACCATCTTGAAATTCAGTCTCGGACCTACTGCTGGCAACCCTTCAGGCGCCAACAAGAAGAGTCCTAGAGTCTGATGTGGTTATTCCTCGGCCTCATGTCCACACCCTGAAGTGTTTCCTAAGTCTGGGAAGATTAATGAGTCTGTGCCAAAGTGAGCAATTTAGTGTTCTTGGTGACAGAGTAAGACTAATTAAGATATAGTTCACTTTCAGTAAAATAGAAAAAAAATGTGAAACTTCTACTTAAACTTAAAATATCACCTCCACCAACCTCCTGCCCTTCCCTGTGCCTGTTTCTCACCTAGGCCAACTACACGGACCCCCAGAGCAAGCTGCGGTTCAGCACCATCGAAGAGTTTTCCTACATTCGGAGGCTGCCGTCCGATGTGGTCACCGGCTATCTGGCCCTGAGGAAGGCCACAAGCATCGTTCCCTGAGCCTGAGAGATGAGACGAAGTGGAAAACTGTTTCAAAGGCAGAGTTTGGACTCACAGTTTTGTTTCATGGAAACAAACTCATTCTGCTGTCAATCTGAAAATGCCAGTGTTGTGCCTTGGAAAGAATGTTTGGCTTTAATTTAAAGTTTTTTTCTGTTTTCCCTCCAAGTGTGATATTTCCCGTTGAATTAAGTTACACTTCAGTTGTTGCCTCAAGTAAAGTTATTTGACAAGAAAATACAATAAAATTGTGCTTTTAATTTAATCCAAGTAAATCCCCAAATTTTCGTTTCAGAGTTGTGAAATCTCCTATAATGCATTTAAAGACTCCACAACAGGTCTGGATTGCTCCTGATCCCAGTGACTCCCTTTTTAGAGCATGTTAGTCTTTCTCTTTGATCAGAACACTTGAACGAGGTCCAAAATTGGGTCTGGAGAAGAAATAGCTGAGTAACTCGTCCTGTTCTACTGGGCCCAACCTCACCCTGTGCCTCAGCTCCCAAATCAGCCTCTCCTGGTCTTTGGAAGTGTGGGTACCAACACTCACACTCTTTCTGTCCATGGAGGGCTTTTGTCTTAGTACAAGATGCTGCCTGTTTGGCTACAGCCTGTTCTGGAGAGGTAGTGTTTGCTTCTCCTTTCTACAAGGAGAGGAAGTGTTTCTTTGGCCCAGAAGAGGAGGGTGTGGAGACAAGCCCTGGGCCTCCCTGGACTCTGTTCCCATATTTCTCTGGAAGGACTGAGGAACCAGGTCCTGGTGCTTCAGTGACAGAGCTGCCTCTGCTTTGGGGGATTAGGCATCGAGGTGCCCTTTTCTTTCTGGAAACAAGCCTCCCCCTGCACCCCTCTCCAGGCTTAACGAAAAGAAAACAGAAGCGAGTCAGCTGGGAGAGCGGCCTGCTGGGCAGGTGGCAGCTGCCCGGGACCTGGCTTCCTTTCCTCCGCTGCAGCAGCCCAGTGTCCAGCACCTTTCCAATAACTAGTGGTGAGAGCAGGAGGGGAGTTGTGTTTCCTTCCTCCACCATGACAAGGGACCTGAGATGATGGCCAGGAGAGGTGGGGAACCTTTCTTAAGCCGTGATCACCAAGGCATTTGAGCCTCTCGTACCAGGTTTCTCAAACCTGAGTGAGCACCAGAGTCACCTTGTGCCACATAGTGGGAGTGTCTGATCCAGTAGGTAGTCTAGGGTGGGGCCTGAGAATCTGCATTTCCAATAAGCGGTGCTTTGAGGTCCCCGTTGTGGTGAAATGGACGGTCTCTGAGAGATCAGAGGCTGCTGCTTGCTTCCCACCTTGCCCCATGCTTCCTGCCAGCAGCCAGCCTAGGAAAACCCCCAGCTTCCCTTCCAGTAGAAGCACGGAGTATGTGAGCCGAGGCTTTCCTGCTTGCTTCCACCTTCTATTATACGAAGAAAACTCAGAGCAGGTCCACTTTTCTGTGAAGGCCCCCAACTGGGCATTTCTAACACTGATGCTGGGCACTGCCTCAGACCAACCTATTCAGGCTTTCCAGGGGCAGGTCCAGGATTACAGACAGAAGCCCTGCCTTGCATGCGTCCACCAGGGAGTACCCAGACAGGTGCTCCTGCAGGCCTTTTAGGGTTTTTGGGTGCTCCATAAACTGTCAGAGTCACCTGGAGACCTGCTAAAATTAAAGTACAGGTCTGTGGGCCACACCCAAGACCTCTGATTTGTGCAGTGGGGCCCCGGAATCTGTATTTGACAAAGATCCCAGCAATGGTGCCCATGGGAGTGTGAAAACCACTGCCCTCCATGGGCAGGAGGGAAGTTCGTGTGGTGGATGCCCCACTTCCTTCTTTCTCATCCTCTCCAGCCTTTCCCTGCCGGCCTCTGGAGAGCTGTGAGTTCTGAAGATCAGGTCATTTTTCACCCCAATCCCCAGGAGTCCAAGGTGAGCAAAATCAAGCATCAAGCTGTGACTACAATAATGAGTCCTGCAGGTTTTGGAACAGGCGGGTCATTGATCCTGTGCTGTAGCCCTTGCTGTCGCTGCTGTAGCCCAGCGGTTCTCACACTGGTTGTGCCTTAGAATCCCATGTGTGTCAGTGGGGGTGGGGGATAGGGCTGGGGGAGGAGATTCTGATTCAATTGGGCTGAGCGGGGGCCGGGGCATAGTATTTTTTAACTCCCCTGAGGATTCTAAGTTTCAGTTAGTGTTAAGGACCTTTCCATAATTATGAAGAGAGTCTTTCACATGGGGTACATTTTCTTATTACCAGATCAGCTGGCTTTTTCCATCCCAGAGCCGTGGGCAGTTTGGAAGGAGAGTCCTTTGGTGTGTGTGTGTATTTAGGATTCCCTTTTGCATGGCATCCCACACTGGAGTCGGAATCACGAATGTCATTGCAGATTCCTTCCTCTCCCATCTTTACTCTTCATATTCAGTCAGCCCCACGTTTCTTCCTCCTCATCTCTCACGTCATCCGCCTCCTCTTCTACTTGGTCCTGCTCCAACCTGACTTCAGTGTCACCTCACCTCCTGCCTGGACATTTTTGTCCCCCTAAATGCTCTTTCCAACACTCTCGTCCCCTCCCCCGCCTTCCATTCTGTTGTCAGAGGGCCTTTCCACAACTTTGAGTGACTTTGCCCATCACGGCATGTCTGTAGGGATTTGTCTCTGATACCCGGTCAATTCTGGCATTGGCCTCTAGGGTCCAAAGGATAAACTCAGCCCCTGAATGGGAAAAACATTTAGCTGGATTTGAGAATTTCTTAAGACCACTCTGAAGTCTAATCTGCTCTGACTGGAGTTTGACTCTTTCCGAATATCTGACACTAGTCAATTTAAGAGGAGGAGAACAATCTAGTATTGGGCATAGTTTAGAACTCTCCGTAATGTTGGAGAAATGCTTTCCTGAGCTAGAGGCAGTCTTTGTGGGTGAGGGGACCCAATTGCCCCACCTCCAAACTTAAAGCATGCGTCTGTACAGATTTTTTTTTTTTTACAAGTGCACGAAACAATTAGTGTTATTTAAAGTAATGTTCTATCTGATAGGAATGTGTGGGCCTTATTTGGATCCTGATTCAACCAAAAAAACTTAAAATATTTTTGAAACAATGGGAAATTTGCTATATTTTGATATTTGATGATGTTTAGGAATTCTTATGAATACTTTTAGTTGTGATAATGGTACTGTAATGTTAAAAGAAATCGTTCTTATTTTTAGAGACACATACTGAAATATTTGTGGATGGAATGATATAATATCTAGGATTTGCTTCAGGATAATGTAGGAGAGAGGAAGTGGACGGGAGTTGTGTTGAAACAAAATTGGCCATGAGTCAATTATTGTTGAAGCCAAGTGATATGTACATGGGAGTTATACTATTCTACTTTTGTGTGTGTGTTAATTTCTCCATAATAAAAAAATTTTTTGGGGGGTTGGCCCGTGGCTCACTCAGGAGAGTGCGGTGCTAGTAACACCAAGGCCACGGGTTCGGATCCCATATAGGGATGGCCGGTTAGCTCACTGGCTGAGTGTGGTGCTGACAACACCAAGACAAGGGTTAAGATCCCCTTACCGGTCATCTTTAAAAAAAAAAAAAAATTTTTTTTTTAATGAATATGATGCTTTTATTACTAAAAATTGTGATGAAATTTTACCTAAGATTGATGATCTGATTAGCTTGGCCTGGTTTGTGGATGCTGAAAGTTTGAGAAATGCTGCCTGAATGGTATGAGGTCTTAAACAGAGGAAATACCCAAATCCTAAAGCATTTCACAAAGTACACGTTAGAAGAAAAGCACCACAGGGTATGTAAAGTCGTCCTTCAGATGTTCTTAACAGAGGCCTTCATTGTGCGTTCCATTGTCACTGAGGGGTGCAAGAGTATTTAAGAGTATTTCCTGTGTAGAGATGAGTAGGTGTGGGAGCGGGAAGACCAAAGATATCTTTGAGTTTTTTTCGTGGGATACAAATAAATTGTCCTAGAGGGGATTTGAGATACACTAGAATGTCTGATTATGGTTTGAGAAAATATCCATTGGTCTAATTCCTGATAGAATGTGCAATATTTATTCATCTACACAGAGAAGGAAATCACATCATCAAAGAATGAAGCACATGGACAAATTGAGTTCAGGGAATTGCTTTCACTGAATTTCAGCTGGGTTTGTTTTTGTGCCCATATTAAGGAACTGCACTGAAAGAGAGGAGGAGACAAAAAATGCCTGTTGCATCTGTTGCAGAAATATCCTCCAGGGCCCTTCCCCACTGCCCTGCAGAGTGAGCTTTTTGGCCCAGCACCCAGACCTGGAGCCTGATAGCCTGGCTTGGAATCTCTTCTACAACTGACAAATTCTGTAGTCTTGGGCAAGTTATACTGACTTACTCTCAAATTCCTAGTATCCTTATCTGTAAAAAGAGCATCATGATGGTGTCCACACCACTTGATTGTCAGGATCAAATAAGAAAGTGTTGGAAGAGCATTTAACTCGGTCTCTTGCTTATAGACTGTGATCACTCACCTCCCTCTGGTCTGTGCATTAGAAAGGTAGATCTTTTCCAGACTTGATTATTTTCTCATTTCTTTGGCTTCTAGGACTCTTAGATCCAAATTTGCAGCCCGCTTATAGTAACTGAATAACATCATGTGATGGTCATTTCCATGTGCTCATCTTATTGCTGGCCCTATCAATTATTGTCCTTGTCATCTTCGTTGTTTATCTCGCCATTTATTCCACCCTTTATTCTGTGTATTACAATAAGCTACATCAACTTTTTTATGGAACAAGGGAAGGAGTAAATAACTAGCTAAGCAAACAAGCAAACAATCTGTGATTGAGGCCAGGAGGGAGAGTGGAGGCGAGGGAGTTCTGGGGGGTGAATAGCAGAGGATTCTGATGGATGAGCTCTTCCAGAGTAAAAGAGGGAGAGGAGGAGCAATAGAAACCATCCACTGGGCTTTTAAAAAATTATTGCTTCATGCCTTCTTTGGTATTCATTGTGTATACTACCATTGTTTCCCATGTAATATCAAGCCATAAAACCCTAAAAACAAAAAGGGGGCTAGTTTTTTACTCGCTTTGGTGACCAGGTTGGGTGGTAAAATGGGAGATCCTTCTTCCCGCTGCAAATGCAGAACTCCTGGAACCAGCCTGGTTTTGTTCCATGACTCGGTGGCCTCTGTCCACTGGTACATCTGTTCCAACCAGAGACAAAGCCTTTCCTGGGAAGAGTCAGTGTTTTCCTGGCCTACAGGATGCTGGTTGCTGACAGGTGCACAGTGTGCACCAAACACAC